CGAAATTTTCGAAAAAGATGATCGGGAAAAAATCCAAAACAAGATGTGTTTTTTGGATGTTATATGACATGTACATCACGAAAAACCATATCACTCATTTCTCTCTGTCTCCATGCTAATCGTATAATCGCCTATGGCCTGAAAAGTACGGCTCGGATTTTGATCAAATTTGTATAAAATGCTACTACTATGTCAAGGACGAAAAAGCGTTTGGAAATCTGAAAAAGGCCAAAAACGCAATAAATAAATAGAAATCGCACAAACTTTTTTTGACGTTTCAGAGGATACTTATCATTTTTAAACAAATTATAGAAGTAAAAAATTTGGGGATCGGGTTGTAGGTAGATGGGGAGGGTATACCTCAATTTTTGATGTTAGCATATTTATACACTCCCAGCCTTGGTAATTCTACGCACCTATTAAACACGCCATAGATTTCCTCGTACATTACTTAGTAAAATATTCTCAGCATACGGGTCGCGAATCTAACGGCTGCGTCTGCTTTTGCTCTTGGTTCTGGTAAGTGTTCTGCTATTACTGCCGCGCCATAGCATAGTGTATTCTATGCAGTGGCCGCGGTGTCATGTATTACCAGATTGGGTATCGGGAAGAGGCGACGTTGACAGTTGGACTACCGGTAGGGCAGGAAATTTTCTCTTAAAGGGTCAAGTTTGTGCTGAACATAATCCTTCACGAACCGAAAACGGCGATGCGTGGGAAGTGTAGAGTCAGCCTACTTATAGGTCAGTAACACTATCGCATTTCATGAATATTTTTAGTAAGCTACTAATTAACTAACGTTTCTACGAAACTTTCAATCCCTTCTCAGTTAGGACACTTTCTAGACCAAGACGTCTTGGTGCCTCTGCATATTACAAAACTGTGATAAGCGATTTCTAAATTTGAGTTGATTACATAACAGATGAAACGTCAGAAACAAACTCGCACAAATCCGTTTCAACGTGTTTCAGTATAAATGCACAGAGAAGAACAAAACGCGAACAGTCTAGACACCGAGTAATCATCGTAAAGTGAGCGTAGATTCAAGCCTGACTACAATTAGCAACGTTCGTTGCTGCGGGTTGTAAGCTACAAGCATCATAATAATTTCTGTTCGTAGATCCTATGGCGCTGTCTGTGAAGTTGATATGGCATGTTAATGTTTCTATTTTTTTCTATTGGTTCTAAAAATACTCTGGAAATGGTCCAGTGCGCGAAACATAAAGATATGATTCTCTGATTCCTTTCCTATGTTGTATTTGGACGTTCCCATACAATATTCATCTCCACTGCGATGTTGCTAAGCAGTATTTCTCTTACAACCAATAAAAGCTCTATTCTTAAACATAGCATCAACCTTCCAGGGAAAGATGACCATTCAACCTCTCAGGTGATTATTCCTAAGATTTCTCTCGTAATTTCTCATATTTCAATTCAAAAATCCCAATTTTTAACCCATAAATAATCTTTCTGAAAAGTTTGAACGACTTTTTTTCGTTGTCTCCACCCAATGTTTGTCCTTGGCATAGTACCTAGTACCTAAAATTTCATCAAAATCCGAGTGGTACTTTCTAAGTTATAGACCGGTCAAGGATTAGTGGACGGGTAGATCGAAAGATAGACAGACCGACAACTGACTGACAGACCGAGAGACAGTTAGAGCAACAGACTTGAGTGACATGGTTCTCCGTGATGTACATACCTGTCATACAACACCTAAAAAGCATAATATTACAATTTCTAAATATTTCGTGATACAATACTGTGGCGTGAAATTCCTAAGGTACCTTGATAAAAAAGGTTTTATTATTATTATATATTATTAACAATTCGTTTTGAAAATTTTTCCTCTCAAACATCATACAACCAGTAGATCAATACCATACATCCCTAATTTAAAAATTTGGTGAATGCGCTCCCTGTTAAACCGATACACTAAACGTGCACTTTCACCACTTTCATAAATGTGCACGATATTTTACAAATTATTTCTGACAAAACGTACAACTTAAAAAAGTTATTGTCCTACCTGCGTATATGCTTCAGTAAGTATTGCCTTAGCATTTGGGTCTGAAAAACTGATAAAAACCCCATCCGATATTAAACAGAATAGCTTCAATTCTTCTGTATTTCATCCATTATATAAATCTCCGCATTTCCATACACAGCACTGAGCAGGAATTTATTATTTCGTTCTCCCCGTCGTACTCATTTATTTATACCGAATCCCTCTCAAAACGTTAAAAATTCATCAGGCTGCCTTGCCCTGGTTATCAACGCCTGAGCACCGGTTTTTCACAGTGATACGAGAGGGTAAAACAGGGAAAGTGAGGGTTAAATGC